TGTGGGTTGCAATGAATCGAGGCACACTGAACTTCAGCATCCACAAAACCACCCCCAGGAAATTAGCAAACACACAACTCCCTGTCCAGCTGCAGCTGTCCTGCCTGACTCTCCCATGCTGTCAACCCTGGCGGCCTCGCTAAGGAGCTGAGTGGGAAGGTTCCCTCTTAGAAGATCTCCTCCTCCACAGTGACAGATGCATTGGGAATCACCCACACTCTTCCACCCCTTCTGTGAACTTGAACTCAGGCTCTACAGCCTTCCAGAAGCTCACTGACAAAGTCTTTGACTTTCTGTCATTGTTTTCCTTGCTAGCAACTTCAGGCTCAACAGAAATCTAGTCACTTTTGCCTTTGATTGATCCTGACAGTCTCTTAAGCTGCTTCCCCTTCTCCCTCCCTCCCTCTATCAATTGCTTTAGCACTTTACAAACCTGATTTACATGGCATTTGAAGTCACTCAGATCTGCTAAAACATCTTCTAACCCCCAAGGATCATGTTCTGCTACAGGACTCAGCAAAGTCACTGAAGTCACTTAATAAGCCTGTTCACTCTGTTGAACTAACTACTTGCTTTTGGCCCCCTTTTTATTGAAAGTAGTTTTTTGTCTCACATAATATATCCTGATCACAGTTTCCCCTCCCTCTTTCTCCCAGGTCCTCCCCTCCTCTCCTCCTATCCAGATTCATTGCCTTTCTATCTCTCACTAGAAAACAAGCAGGCTTCTAAGGGATCATAATAAAATACAATAAGATAAAACAAAAACTGACACATCAATACATTGGAATAGGATAAAACAAACAAACAGAAGGAAATAGGGAATCTGCCTAAGAAAAGGCACAGGTCACAGATATAGACAGAGACCGACTCATTCATACACTCAGGAATCCCATAAAAATTCTGAAGAGAAAGCCATAATGTATGTATGTGCAAAGAACATAATATCAGGCGAGAGAGAAAGAGGAAGGGAGGGAGAGAGAGGGAGGGAGGGAGGAGAGAGAGAGAGAGAGAGAGAGAGAGAGAGAGAGAGAGAGAGAATAACATTATGAAGCAAGGAACCTCCAAAGATGCTGCTGAGTTCATTTTCTGTTGTTCATCCAGTCATCTAGTACTGGGCATACAGCCTGCCCTTAAGAGTAGTTTTTCTCCTCAGTGAGACTCCTTGGATAAAACTAAATTTTCATTTAAAAGTGGTTATCAATTGGAGACAGTTTGGGGGTTGGGGACTGGGTCATGTGTCCACTTCTCCTTTCAGCTCTAGGATCCTAGCTGATGTAGACCTGTGCATCATAGAACTTCCTATGAGTTCGTATGTATGTTGTCCCTGTTGATTTAGACGGCCTTGTTTCCTTGGTGCCCTCCATCCCCTCTGTCTCTTACACGCCTTTCTCCTCTTCCATAGGGTTCATTGAGGAGCCCCAAGGGGAGGAATTTGATGGAGACATTCCATTTAGAGCATAGTATTCCAAGGTCTCTGCTCTCTGCATAATGTCTGTCTAGGAGCCTCTGTATGTGTCCCCATCAGCTGCAGGATGAAGCTCCTCTGATGATGGCTGAGCAAGGCACTGATCTATGAGTACATCATCATGTCATTATGAGTCATCTTACTGCTATTGCCTTTTAGCAGAATACTTTTAGCAGAACTTGGTTTTACCCTATGTTGCTGGGTTCTCTAGTTTCAGGTTCTTGGTCACCCAAGCAGTGTCAGGTATGGGTTCCACCTTGTGAAATGGGTCTTAAGTCATTTTCATTTGGTCTGGTAGATTGGGCATCAAACATTGTCTATCATGTTGAATAAAGTCTATGATCTTCTCAGCAATCCCAGTATTTCCTTCTGATTTCTTCTAGTCCTTGAAATTCATAGAGATCTTGGCTGGTAATGACCAGTATCTCACGGTTCATACAAGCCTGTCCACCAGGGACTGTTTTCTCTTGTACTGCCTCGATTTGTGTGGCCTTTGTCTCAAGGAGTGACAAGTAGTTATATTATTCAGGTTGTCTCCTTCCGTGACACTCAGACTGATCCCATCCACCCTCATTTCTCAGGAGCCAGGCTGAGAGAGAGGATCTTCAATTTCTCATTTTAAAATCCTTCCCAGTTCAAAGAGTTCAGATGCAGAATACTCTGTGGTTCCCTGCACTGAGGCATTATTAAAGTGTCCATAAGCTCCCTGAATCGTGGATTTTGTCTTCTACTGTGTTAAAGGTCAGACCTGAGGTATATCTTCTATCATTTCTGCTTCATGCTCTTCCTTTTCACCATTGTGGCTCTTTTCATAGGATTCAGGTGTTCGTATAATGAGAGGGACTCTTTAGCAAAGGTATAATTAGGACTCTATCTTCCTGTCACCAGGTTATAAGAAATCACAAGTCAGCCCCTGCATCTCATCTTCTCTTATCAGAAGATGACATGGATGATGGTACCTGAATGTCATTTTTCCATTGTAAAGCTTCATTTTTACTTTAAGCAAGCAAGTTTCATCTGTACAGTCGACTTGACTTCAGTTTCATAACTTATAACCATTGCAATGGCTTACCAAAAGTTTAATTCCGTATATTGTCTTAGGAATTATAATGTATTCTCTAGTCCTTCAACCATTCTCAATGTGTTTCCGTACTTAGGCAGAAGACATTGTTCATCAGGGAGATGTGGCATTCTATGTCACAGGGGATAAAAAGGTCACCCTGGGCTACCCTCTCCCATGAACATCCCACTTTCAGATGGCTCAATACAGAAAATATGGTCCTGTCACCATTAACACCCTTCCCTCAGTAATTCAGCCTTAACAGTATATCTTACTACTCTTGGCCAGGGCCACACAATGCTCCTTGTAAAATTACCTTTGTTTCTGTTTATTTTTATGTTTGTTGTCAATTTATGTTGCTTTTTCTAGGGAACTTTAATGGAATTCTATTCATTACACAAAAAGTACCAGTGACTGACCACAGAACCAATCTATCCAATACCAACTCAATGAATCAACAACTTTGATTTTCTAGATTACTTACAGGGCTGTGGATGACCCACAGACCACTGCATCACCAGACAGTCCTACTCCATTACAGGTGATGATGTCACAGAAGGTACTTTATGGAGCCCTGCCTTCTGTCAACCTCTTTTTTGTTTGCTCTAGTGCCTCCAAAGATTCCAGAGGAAGATCCCGTGCCCTATTCCTTCTACTCAAGAGTGTTAATGACGTCTCTTCTGCTAACATAGATGTAACTGTTTCTGCATTCTGCTTGTTTCATTGCCATAGCTTTGGGGCCAAGGTTATCTCTACTTCATGATAGTAATGGCATACAGTCATTCAGGCCCCTGCTCAGAGGAGACAGTTTAACTGTGTAGGCTATCACATCAGATCTATGGTATGGTTTAGAGTGTTGTCTGTTCCAGATCCACAACAAGATTGTGAGCTTCTCTGTGCTTCTCTAAATCTTCTGATTGCCCTCAAAGAATCCATAAAGAAGGTGGCTACCACATATATGTAGCTTTCCTCTATCTTAGCCAGGAGTTCCTCTAGATCTTCTGTTATGATAATATGTTTAACTTTGCTCGTATCGTTTTTCTATCAACTTTCACGTGTCCACATAGCTCAGCTTTCTTGTATTAATTCTTTTATTGTTGTGATCAAGAATTAACTTAATGGAGAAGATTATTTTAACTATGCATCAGGGTATTCCATTCATCATGGTAGTGGGATGTGGCAGCAGGAAAGGTTCACTATTGTGGTCATGGGAATGTACTCACATGTCAGTAGATTGGGAAGCATAGAAAAGGCTATGTCTTCCCTCCTCAGTGAATAGTCTCTAAAACACCGAGGTGATTCTAAGAGTCAAATTGACAATGAAAATTAAGCATCCTAGCCTCCATAACAAAATGAGCAAGTCCTTATTATAAAGGAATATTTGTTTGCTTGCAAATTTATGTGGAGTGAGAAAGAGTTTAAGAACATGTGCCTGGGCAGTCAGAAGCATGGTGCAGTCCCTGGGGGTATGGAAGTTCTGGAAGCTTAGATTGGGTGAGAAGGCCAGGAGTTAGATAGATCAGGTAAGTTATCAATATCAGATGACTTCTGAGTGGAAAGACCGAGTGAGTCAGCATTATATCTCTCTGTGGTCCTATATCAAAGAACTATGGAGAATGAAACTCTGGCTACCTCTGCTCTCAGAATTAGGCTCATGTAAGGATGTTTTGTTGTTATTTGGTCAGATGCGTGTGCATAAAATGAAGTCAGGGTGAAATTGTTGGAAGATTCTAAAAGGTTATGCACATCTTTGTTTGTTTGTTTTGTTGAGACAGGACTTCTCTATAGCTTCAGAGCCTTCCTGGCACTTGCTTTGTAGACCAGGCTGGCCTGGAACTCACAGAGATCCTCCTGTCTCTGCTTCCCAAGTGCTGGGATTAAAGGCATGCACCACCACTGCCCGGTTCTGTATGTCTTTGACTTTGGGCAAAATTGACTTTTTTGGAGTGACTAAGACAAATGATGGGGTTGTAGATGCTTTCCTCATGGAGGAGGCTTAGAGGCTTCTGTTTGGTACAAACCAGACATGATCAAGTCATGAGAAAGAAAGGGCAAATGAATTAGAGAGCTCAATGAATGATTTTAGTGAGGCTCCACGTGGACTGAATGGACACACCACACAGCCACATTAGGCTCCTCATTGTACAGTTTTATAACACTTAGATTTCTGGTTCGTAGCCACGGCTTACTCCATTCTCCCTCTGAAACACACCCTACGATAATTCCGTGGGATTGTCTTTCTCACAACCACGAAAGAATATTGTAGGAAAAATAACTGGAGTAGGTAAAACTAAGGAGGCTTGATTCTTAAGTGAGTCCCAGCTTTGACTTACTACCTCAGGATCTGTGGTTCTTCTACAAAGCACGACGATCGGGCTTAGTTCAGCTATTGAGGTCCTTTCGCAGTTCCATTCATTCTTTCATTGATCCGTTCACTCATCTAGTTTACAAATGTGTTTTGAATTATGTAATACGGTGCTCACTTTGGCAGCCCGAATACAAAATCTGAAATGACACGGAGAAGATTACCCCGGTTCCTGTGCAAGGATGACACACAAATTTGTGAAGCTTTCCATATTCTTTCCATTTCAATAAAAGAGAAAAAATATCTCATAAATTATAAACTGAAAATATGAAATTAAACATAACAAGTTAACTTATTAATGCTAGATACATGGTGACGGTGTGTATATATAGTATTTATGGAATTCATAGTCCATCAGGAGTGATGGACATTTTGTTTTCAGCCCTAGGAAAGAATGCAGGACTTTAGCTGGGCTTATTAATGTTCTATCATTGAGCTACACCACCAGCCTTAAATGAACGAATTAAGCAAGTGTGCTGCTTTGTAATAAAAACTTTCAGAAAGTGCCATGGATGATTGTGCAAAATATGCCTGTTTAGGAGATAAATTGAGCCAAAATGTCCGTTTGTATACAGTACACTTGGCCTGCTAAAGTCATAGAAGAATAGTCCAACATTCCCCAAATAGATACGGAACAAAGAGACAGTATGTTGGATTGGTAAGGTTCCTCAACAAGTTAGCAACCAAGCCTGAGAATCTGCATTTGGTATCTATCCCTCAGACTCACAATGTAGAATGAGGGAACCAATCCATTCATGTTGTCCTCTGCCTTCTACATGTACATCATAGCATTTGGGCACATTCCTGCACATGCAGACACATACCATGCACATAAATAAAATATTTAAACAGAAACAGTAGGGTGGCTTTACAGAAAACAATAATTTCTGCTTGGCTGGGGATATAACAGTGACAGAATTCAAAGCCGAAGAAGAAAAGAAGAGCTTATCAACTGTCTGGTATGACGTATTAGGATTCTGTAATGTATGGGCCTTATTATAGTTAAGCTAACTTTCCTAGTTATCTGTGTTATTTTTATGCTGAAGATACCAGAGATGTAAGCTCATCCATTACCAGAACCCAGTGTCTTTCACACTCTCAATTACCTCCCAAATGTCTCTGGCAATTGTGGTGTCTGGGCTTGGCCCAGCTCTCCTGGCAAAAGACAGAAACACACATCTTCCAGACTGGGCTCAGAACATGTCTTCTTGCCTTCTGGGAGAATTGCTGCTTGAGACATCTAATTTTACAGATCATGGTTTGGAGAAAAATATGTCACCCCAGAAGTGAGTAGGAAATTATTCACTTTTGGAGAGATAGAAATGTCAAGCCAGATTGATCAGGACCCAAGCTAGATACCCAGGCAGTTCCCAAAGAGAGCCAGGAAACCCAGCACCCTCTGCTCCCATCCCATCCCATGATGTGATGACTTAGGAGCCATTTCTCATGCTGCTTCATGTCCTTAATCTCCCTAGAGAACTTTCACACAGCCCTATCTTAAGCATGACATCTGACGATACTATCTTTGAACCCACATGCGACTCAGAAGACCACATGTACCCTTAGCTTCCAGAGCACATTTCAACACAATGTTGTCAAAATACCAATAGTGCCATTTTGTAATTATGGTATAAGTTTTATACTTAGTTTAATATCAGTTAAAATATTCAGTGATTCGTAATTTATTTTTCTTAGATAAATGGATTGATGAGAAAATTAGTGGATGGATTCTTGGGCTTGAAGACTTTTCTTATTAGACCTTTGGCCCCAAGTCATTTTGACTTTTTAAGGAATTGATATCTTGAATATTCAAATGTTAGGTCTAGAAGAAACCTAGGCTATTGACAGGTCAGTGATTCCACAGACTGGCCACCAGAAACACTTCTTTTTTTGGATCTGTATGTGTAGAAGCAGAAAGAAAATGTGTAGTTTAAATATGCACAGGTTCTACTTTGTTGTTGGAGAGACATGGAGAAATTCTGGAGCCTTCTAGAGGAATTACATATAACCTGGAACCTGCAGAATTCTTGCAGCTTATATACTTCCAAAGAGGAACTAAGAGATGGAAACTACTGGGGTCGTCTGATCTCTCATTGGAAGGTTTTTTATTTTATTTTATTTTATTTTGTGTGTGTTTGTTGTATTGTGTGTGTGTGTGTATGTTATGTGAATTTGTTAGTGTAGCTATTTGCACATATATATGCAGATTCATTTAATATGTGTGTGTGTGTGTGTGTGTGTGTGTGTGCGTGCATGCACTCACGTGCATACATGTGTGTGTGAAGCCCAGAAGTAGAAGTTGGGTATCTTTTCCTAGCTTACTCTCTTTCTTTGTTTCTTGATACAGATTTTCTCACTGCACATGGCTTTCACCAATTTGCCTAGACTGGCTAGCCAATGATGTTCAGGGATCCTCCTTCCCTTTCTTATAAGGTTAAATGCATGAACCACCTTGCCCAGTCTTTTTTGTTGGTTCTGGGGATCCAAACACAATTCCTTACGTCTGACATCTCTACCACCTCCTCCATCAGCTCTTGACATCTTCCAGCATAGTCAAATGTGTGGACAAACAATCCTTGCCTGGTTACCTACCCCGATGGAGGAACTCCTGTAGGCCAGGGCAACTTAGTGGTCTCAATGGCAGCAGTTTGCTGTACTGTACACTGTGCACTGTTGGGCCCTTAAAAGGGATGCCACATGCCACACTCTCTAAATGCTGGTTCACCTGTCTCCAATTGGAAAACAGAAATTGGCTTCAGACAATGGCCAATTTCCCTGGGGATGGAAAGCAAACCACCCTTGGCTCAGAACAACTGACTTAGAGCCATCCTCGCAGGATGCGGGCATCATTACAGTGCACAGTTATTGATTTTGTTTATGATCCATTTTCTTTTCTTGTCAAAGTAAAACAACACAAACTCAAATAAACCTACCAGTCATTTTCCTTTTGAAACAGTTTCTTCCATTCCTCCAGAACATTTAGACCTGGTAGGCCTCTTCCAAACACAAGGGGACAGAATCCTTCCGGCTATGGACTTCCAAAGAAAACAGTAACTCTCTGGAAATACACATAGCTGTTTTGTCGGGGTTCATCTAAAATAGGTCTAATGTAGAGGAAAATAGGCCAACATTATGAGATTTCTGAAAATACCATCTGAGTCCTTGGATTTAGCTGGTCTCAAAGTCCAGTTATCTCAATATAAGAGGTCCCTGTGCTTGTTATTCACCAAAACAAAGCAGATCCCTTCTACTAGTCTGACTGTAACCGCATCTCAACTAGTTGTAACCAGAGAAAAGATATGAGGGTTTTTTTAAAATCATTTTTGCTTTAGTTTCCAGCTGTTTCTGAGAACGAATGAAGGTGGATTTGTTCTTTTCCTCACAATCCAACTTTGATGGTTCTTCAAGGTATTGAAGCAGATACATTAGCTGAGGTCAGAGTTCCCAAACTCTGAACTTGCTCTCCACGTCTTCATTTTCCATGGAAGATCCTTATAAGGTACAGCACAATCCAGGCCTCTATTCTGTTAATAGTCTGTGATAGTTCTGAGTGCCTACAGGATATGTCCCCAACTGGGCCTCAGATGACACCTGAAGCTAGGGTGTTTGGAACTATGTCCTCTGGGTACCGCAGGACAGCCCTGGAACCTTAGCACACTGGCCATGCCTGGGTACTGTGCAAGCCTGAAGTGGAGCGTTGTTGAATATAGAAACCAAGCAGGAGGACTGCCCTGTGTCTGCTGTCAGTGAAGAAGAGACATCTTCCTAGAAATGTACTCAGCTTTCCTGCCTTTTCTGACTGTGTTTTTCCTAGGGAGAAAATGGCTAGAAGCAGAGCTGGTGGTGCTCACTCAAATTCTGTCTCCATCTAGCTGAAAGAGGACTCTGCTTACTGTCTTCCCACAGCAAAGATAGTTTTAGTGTCCCAGAATACCTAAGGGTAATGCTGCTTGGGTCAGGATCTTACCTGAGAATAACAGAAAAACGTGCAAGCACTGTACCCGCACTCAGGAAAGCCAGGTTCGGGTCTCAGTCCTGCCTTAAGGATTCTCATTTGGACTGTCTTTGGAAAATACCTATCTATTGTTTTGTGATTTTTCTTGATCTGCATCTCACCCTGAAGCTCTAGCAGGCAGAGCTCTTCCTTTGGTGGTAACTCAGTTTCTTTTCACAAACATTAGGGTTGGGTTTGGCCATGTGATTTTGGTCTGGCTCATCAGGGTCCTTCTTTTGTGGAGCAAGGGACTCAGTGACAGTCCAATAGTTTGATACAGTCAGGCCAGGAGAATTTGGGTAGAACTTTGCTCATTCTGCCAAAATTACTAGGAAAACAGAATGCAAGCTCCAAGTTATTAGTGTCTGTTTTTTCCAGGAAAAGGAAGTACCCATCTGAGAATAAAGCAGATCTGAGAGATGGAGAGACACTGCAAATGACATTCGTTAGAGTTCCTAGATCCAGCCATGTTGAAAGCCATTAATCCTAGGATTGGTTTGATGAACAATGAATCCCTGTTTTGCTTTTTGCAAGTCTAACAATAATTAACAACGGACCGAGAACACTCCTAATCCGTCACAGACTAAGTCTCTGGTTTTGTTGCTGTAGTTATTTAAACTATATTGTGGTTCTCAAACTTGTTTGCACAGAGAAATAGCTAGGGATCTTTATAAAAATAGTTTGCTTAAACAGTTTAGATTAACCTTAGATTCTGATCTTCATTTTATCATTTACAGAATTCTTTTATTGTTTGGATATGAAGCACCCCCTCCTTAAAGACTCCCATGCTGAGGGTTTGGTACCGAGCTGGTGGATTCAGTCCTTGAGAGGCGACTATGCTCTGACCTGATCAGTAGACAATCCACCGCTGGAGTCACATGTGGTGGCACTTTGAGGAGGGAAGAAATAAGGAGACAGAGCTTAGCTTAAGGGATCAGATAATCTGAGCATTCATGAACAGGTTTACAGTGTTTCTGGTGTCTGTGTACAGTCTTCACCGCTATACGCTCTCACCATCCTGATGCTCTGCGTCCACTGACCATGGACTGCAGCCTCGGAACCAGGAGCTGAAAAGAATCTTTATCTTCTTTAAGTTGGTTTTCTCAAATATTTTTCTTTTGCCACAGAAGGGAAAATTAATTGTTCCAGATGCCAGATTTGGACCTGCATGTAATGAATAACTGTTATTATCACCATTTTCTTACTCTGCCTATTATTCCAGT